ATGAAAGATTTGCTCCTGTTAACTTCACAGCTGCCTGTTAGATTTTCCTCCCATTTCTTAATGGGTTCCATCCTTCACCCAACTTTCAGCTTTGAAATGAACCAGTCAATCGAGCTCCCTTTCATTAATGTCCCACCGCTGGAAGGGTAAGGTACCTCAAATGTTTGAGCAACAGCTGAGATGGGGGAGTTTTTAATGAATATTTCTCCTTAGTGTTTACTGAGAAGAGAATGATGGATGCCAAGGAAATAAGAGAAACAAATGGAGATGTTTTGGACTGCATACACATTACCAGAGAGCAGGTGTTTGCAGCCTTAAAGTGCATTAAGGTGGGTAAATCCCCTGGGCCTGATCAAGTCCATCCTCGGATGTTGTGGGAGGCTAGGGAAGAAATAGGGTTTTGGAGTAGATTTGTAACTCGGGTTGTGGGTGTTGTGGTTGGTTGGCTCACCGAACTGGTTTGTTGTTCCGCAGACATTTCATTACCCTGCTGGGTAACATCATCAGTGCAGCCTCCGATTAAGCGCCAGTGTGTTTTCCTGCCTGGTTTTTAAAATCTGAAGTCCATTAAGTTGGATTACCTCACTTCCGGTTTCCCTTTGCAGTGGTGTATACATAGGGTCTAGCTCTATGTGTTTGTTAGTGGAGAACAAGGCCTCTAGGAATTCCCGTACTTGTCTCTGTTTGGCCTGTCCCAGGATCCTGGGGTTGTCCCAATCAAACTGGTGGTTCTCCTTGTCCATGTGGATTGAGATGAGTGAGTATTGGTCGTGTCTTTTTGTAGCCAGTTGGTGTTCATGTACTCCTGTTGTTAGTTTCCTTCCTGTTTGTCCGATGTAGTGTTTCTCGCAGTCTCTGCAGGGGATCTTGTGGATGACATTGGTCCTGTCCATGGCGGGGAGTGGGTCTTTGGTTCGGGTGAGCAGTTGGCGTAGGGTTGATGTGAGTTTGTGTGCTACTCTGATGCCCAGTGGTCGTAGGAGTCTTGTGGTCAGTTCAGATGTCTTCCTGATGTAAGGTAGTGTGATGAGTGTGTCAGGGTATCTTCCTGGTGTTGTTTGTGCGATAGGCACTTTCTGACCCAGTTTTTTGGGTATCCATTGTCTCTGAATACTTGGTAGAGGTACTTTTCCTCTTTTAAGCGTAGCTCCGTGTCGCTGCAGTGTGTTGTTGTCTGTTTAAATAATGTTCGCACGCAGCTTCGTTAGTGTGTGTTAGGATGGTAGCTGTTGAAATTCAGTACATGGTCAGTGTGTGTGGCTTTCCTGTGTACCTTTGTTAGGAATTCCCCGTTGGTCCTGTGTTCTACCACGACTTCCAGGAATGGGAGCTGATGGTTCTTTTACTCTTCGCTGGTGAGTCTGATCCCAGTGAGGGTGTTGTTTATTAGTTCATGTGTCTCCTCTAGTCTGGTCCGTTTAATAATGATGAAGCGTATCCATAGTTTTGGTTGGATTAGTGGAAGGGCCATACTTTCGAGTCCCTTGTGGAGATTTTTGCTTCATCTTTAGCTATAGATGAAGTTCTGGAAGACTGGAGGGTGGCTAATGTTGTTCCATTGTTGAAGAAAGGTAGCAAAGATCAAACCAGGGAACTACAGACCAGTGAGCCTGACATCAGTGGTAGGCAAGTTATTGGGGAGGATACTGAGGGGCAGGATCAACCAACATTTGGATAATCAAGGTCTGATTAGGGATAATCAGCATGGATTTGTGCACGGGAAGTCATATCTGACAAATCCTTTAGAATTTTTCAAAGAGGTAACCAAGAGGATATATGAGGGTAGGACAGTGGATGTTTTCTATGTAGACTTTGGTAAGGCC